ATTTTTAAAGTAAACAATAATATTCAAGAAGCTACCTTCAAACATGGTCATAAAATGCCGCTCTCATAATTATCGAAAGGTGGGTGATTTAAAGAAAAGAGTACGTATATCAGAGATGGGAGAGGAAAGGTTTCTAAACCTGCAGCCTGCGCTCGCTCTTTGGATCACCTGACCAGCATGGCTCATACGATGCATGACTTATTTAAGCTTACTCTTTAAAATCTTAGGTAAGCCTCCTACTACGTGCAAGAGGCCACCGCTGATGCCACAGTGGATGATCGTACCAACAGGCATGTCTTACGCATTTTACAGTCTGGCAAAATTACGAATGGATAGCGGCGTTCCGCACAGTAATCCTCAGAAGCAATGAATAACATTCTTGTTGGTGTTAAGTACACCGAAGATCATTGGGTACGTTAACAAAAGTTGATTCAGACAACTGAATCAAAGAAAAATGTTCTAAAGTCAATGGGCATCATGCGAAGCGTAATCATTAAGGGACAAGAGTTGCCATCATCGGGGGACAGCATACTGCAGGATGACTTCGAGGAAGCAACCTAAATCACATCCATTCAAAAACTGGTACGGATAATGTAAGATGCAACAAGGCGGTCTGAAACAAGTCTCAACCGATCCTTTACGATTCGCTAAATCTCACCTGCAATAATTTAGTCCTTCCGTGTGACAGCAAGGAAAAGACATAAACTGATACAGTCTAACAAAACTAACCCATAATTCACCATGAATGTTTAACAGAGTGAGATCGTTTCAAGTAACTAATCAGGGGGCGTACACCCCGACTGTGTCATGTTAAGATTTGTAGAAGCAAAGCTTTTGATGAAGTCTGCTCGATGGAAACGCCTCCCTTCAGATCATGCAACCCAAAAACAGATGTTAACTTGTACCAGGTCGTTTTTCTGCATACCGCGCAGAATATCTAAAAATTTCCAATGGAGGCTATTGTACCTGCCACATATACCCACGTACCGAAACCAATACAACATACCTCGATATCGTGCGGTTTACAGTATAATAGAATATCGGTACGATAGAGAAATGCTTCTATTCAAGGAACCCATTCCATGAGGCCCATGGATCTGAACGTCATTTGCACCGACAAGGGCAATGGCTACGACATTGAAAACACGTGAGGAAACTGGACATCTGCAGTCAGACTCAAAAAAGCAGGTGGGACATCAAAACTGGAAGCCACTAGCATACAGTTGTGATTATCCATGATTTAACCTGCATGTACATTACTGAATTAATTTGAAGAGCATTTTTTTGTAAAAAGGATATACCTCAAGCAGGTGACATTTATTAAATTAAGTGAATAACCTGAAATGATGGTAACTTCTGAGGAAAAAATAGACAGGCAGTAAATCACAGAATTACCGTGTAAATGCCTCTAATTAAATTAAACAAATACCGGTATCCACAGGAGTATCCAGAACGAACTACGCAACTATGCCTTTTATCCTAATCTGACACCCATGTCAGAAAAAGGCTTATGAAATCAGGTTAAGTTTAGTTCAGCTACAATACAAGTCGAATGATTACCGCTGTACACCGCAAGAGCTGCTGACTTTTCATTAACGATGCTAAATTTCCATTTACAAGCCCAGCAGCAATTAACAGAGAAGGGTATCCCGGACGCTTTTATGAGGCGAGCTCAATAGTAAGAAATATTCCATTCTTAAGAATTTATTTGTCCTCAAATAAATTGATAGCCATAATGACTCATTTGAGATATTTTGGGTCCGATTCTTGACTCCTGGGTCGTCGTATTTCACAATTTCGAACCAGATAAATGCATATTCTCAAAAAGAAAAAATCGCATGAGAATGACTGGTCAATGACATCTAAACTAACATAAGCAATGCAGTTTTCTGAAACACAATGACAAACTTTATCATCTTAGGTAAAAAGGAATGACAACTTTGGGCAACCACTTTGTGGAGCACTTTCCTGGCTTGACTAAAAAAGTAGTATGGACAGCATCCTGTAATGTGATCACGGTGGACGTTCGTCCGGTCCAGAACCTTCGAGTCGTCGGTTTCTGCTCAGTGGGTAAATGGCAGGATTAAAGAAGCTAAGCTAACTGTGCATTGTCTGAAAATAATAATTCTTTCGTCCAGCGCTACAAAAGAAGCACAGCAAAAACGAAACTACCACAAAGCCGTAAGAGAAAACGACATCTCAAACGGTAAGGAAGATAATGACAAACTTCTCACTGTGACAAAAATAATAAACTCCAACGGTTACAAATCTTTTACTTTCTCTTGTCACTCCCTCTTCAGATCTCATTGATAGAGACCGTTAGATCTAATCCTACTTGGCAATACATGATGATTCAAAGATGCAATGGTCGTTGATCCTGTGAGAGGCAACGTGCTGTCCTTTCGTGTTGTCTTGATTGTTGGGCATTAGTCGCCGCCGAAAGAACCTGAGGTGACAAGTCCCCCAGAAGATCCTCTTCTGAATGCCTGCTTGTTCAAATCCCACTATTTGCTACATGCCTTGATGACGTAATGAAATGACGTAGCGCCACTTCGCGACCTGATACATCTGCATAGCTAACAAGCAAAATAGAAACAACTAAAATTCGAATGCCAATAGATTTACTAGTGTTAAAAACGGCCGTGGCAAGGAGGCAATCCGCAACGGTACGGCTTCGTACATTTTTACAAAATAAAAACCGATAGGCTCAAAAATTTTACTACAAATAACGCTATGAGAAATAGAACAGACTGGCAGGTAAAAGCTCAAAATGCTGCATAAATTATTTTTTACTTTACTACAATAGTATTCCATTAACGCCGCGGCGACGTATACTTGGCATTTGCTACGAGCGTCTTCTCTGGCCTTTTTGAAAATCGCCCTGGCGGCCTTGATGCCCTCCGTGCGTCTGGCGAATTTCAGGTACTGAATATATGCCTATAAAAAACCTATTTACTTTAATTGATGACGCCATAAAACAGTAACGAAATTAGACTAAAGTACAACGACTTCGGTTATCTGCTGGTCTTTTGAAGCAGCTTGATCGATCCATAATAAGTAATTTATTAACTTTCTCACGCTTGTCCAAGTGCTGCTGACCATATGAACAAGGGGCTCATCAGTCAAGCATACAACGTGAGCTGGTTTGTTAATTTACAAAAATTGTCGTATAACTGGCAATTTTAGACTCGAATGTAACTTATTAAACCTAATATAAAATCTGTGATGGAAATGGGTTCGAATTTTCGACTCACAATGAGGTGTTTCCTTTCCGTCTTTATAAGCAAAAACAGTAGGAGCACGGTGCAAACAGTTACTCTTCAGTGCTGATGATTATATTAATATAACGGGTCTACGAAATGCTAACTCAAATTTTTACACGTAGAAAAAGTAACAACTTCCTTCGAAAAAAAAACAAACATCGACCACACAAATTCACCATTACTAGGAAACAACCTCATCCCATGGTTGACAATGGATGAACTATCTACAGCAATTGCCAATATAACCATTTTGTACTCATCGCTTTATTGGTTGGCGTTACGACAGATCACTTCACTGTATGCACATTTCTGGTGACAAATTTGTCATGCTCGTTCAGAGTAGGTACATATATTAACAAATTCGAAATCGCGCAGACGAATAAGTCTACTTAAGCAAAACTCTTCATCAAATTTCTCAACCCCGTTGTTAAACTATTTTTACTATTAGACGAATCTATTCCTCATACATACCAAATTCTCAAAAGTAAAGTTGGCACATCAGTCGACAAAATAACAGCCAAAGTCTAGTGTTCAGCACCAAAACAAATAGACAAATCCAGGACGTTACAACGGACGTAACAAGGCGACAAAGAAACTACAAGAATCACAGAATACACGAAAAGGTAGCAGCGGATAACACATTCCCTGCGGACCTTCTCAAAAGGATGAATGATGACTCAATAACGAAGATGATGAACAGCGTGACAAAAATTATGATGAATATCAGAAGAAAGAAAATGAATATTATATGTGAAGAAACAAAACATGTTGAATGTTAAAAACTGAAAGCAATACCTTAAAACCTTCATTATAAATTTCATTAGAAAACTTTAACTCATACCAAAGTTGGGTCAATATCCGGGATGTCGATGAAACGGTTGTAAATGCTTTGTACTTTTTCGTACTTCATCCTCTCCTCTTCATAGTCGGCGTAGGCAAAGTACAAAAGCATATTGTTCTTGAGTAAAGTGGTAATGGCTCGCTCGTACAGGCTGGATATTTCGTCGCTTAACTGGCTACTTAGCTT